GTGAGGAGGATGCTCAAGCTGATGACTTCGAGACACAGGTCCATGGACTGCTGATGACTGAGGTTGATGAACATGAGGCAGTAGACCGGAGGTATCGACTGCAAGGCAAACAACCAGCTCATCGACTACATCACCAAGGCCGACGACCTGGGGGGGAGGAAGTCTATACAGCGGTGAAGGTGCTGAGCAAATCCCGGAACACTGTGGACCTGAACAGGTACCAAGAGTGTCAAGGGTGTGGACTCCAAAAAGTCGCAGTTGAAAGGGAGCGCAGGGTGTGTGAAACGCCGAAAGAAGAGAAGAATGTGGAGGAGATCGTTGTAGAGGGCATCAAGAGCATCACGAAAGAGGTGCAAGTGATGAATGAACTCCGACAAGGGCTCCAACAGGTGATTGTGGATGAGGTGGCCATGAGCATAGCACCAGAAGGCCAGGCAGACGCGCGCATTAGGCAGCTGAGAAGAGATGCTGTGTGGCTGGATCGAAGAATCCAAGAAGACCAACAGGAGATCGCCCACATCATGAAAGCAGTGGGAACGGGGGAGAAGGAAGCAACTCCACAGGAAGCAGAGGTACTGCAGACCTATCTGGTCGGAACAAAACAAATCCTCGAGGAGAAAGATTTGTGCAGATTCCCCCGGTGGAAAGTGAGGTTATGGTGTTGGAGAACACTAGCACACTAGTGAGGAAAACGCCTGAGGAGGTGAAGGCACTGGCGCAATCAGGCATCTACATCGAGATCATCCCGGGCAAGCTACTGTGCAGTCGGAAGGCACCATGTGGAAGAAGAAAGGCAAGGATTGTGGGGTGTGGAAACTTTGGCACGCCTGATGAGACGGTGACAACATCAACAGGAGGCATCGATGCAGTGGCACTGAGGGTTCTAATGATGGTCGCAAGCCAGAGGGGTTGGACATGTGGTTCCACAGACATCAAAAGTGCGTTCTTGCAGGCACCAAAGAGAAGTGCAGCACATCGGGTGACCCTCGTGAAACCACCTCAGCTAGTGACCCAGTTAGGGATCGTGCCACCTGGAACAATGTGGGCGGCAGAGGGCGCCTTGTATGGGTTGAGAGAGTCGCCAGAGGACTGGGCTTGCCATCGCAATCAGTGCCTGAGAGGAGCGACATGGAGCTGCAATGGACATGCACGACGAATCCAACAGTTAGCTCAGGCCAATGTGTGGAAGATTGTGAACCTAGATGGTGAGGTGAAGGCCTACTTGGGGACGTATGTGGACGACCTGATCATGGTGGGGCCAACAGAGGAAGTCACATCTGTGCTCCGTAAGGTGGAGGCCATCTGGGAGTGCTCGGGCAGCCAAGTGCTCGAGAAAGAAGGACAGGAGCTGAAGTTCTGCGGGTTCCAAGTGCTTCGAACAAGCAACGGCTACAAGTTGCACCAAGGAGACTACATCCTGGACCTCTGTGACAAGAAGGGAGTGACGGGCCCATCAGTGTGGAAGGGAACGGTTCTTCAGGAGGCAGAGGATGAGAAGTTCGATATCGCAACATTGAGGGAGGCACAGACCCTCGTTGGAGAACTTCAGCGGGTCACGTGCAGGAGCAGGCCAGATGTCTGTCACGCCACAGGAGTCCTGAGCCGAGCAATGCACCGTCGTCCGAGAGAAGTATGTGAACAGGCAAGAGCAATCCTGACTTACTTGAAGGACACTGCTGATCGTGGCATCAACTTCTGGAAGGCAGGTGAACACCTACTGGGCGAGAAGGAAGAGCTTAAGTTCCCAAGGGGAGAGGCTGACGTTGAAGCATATGCAGATGCATCATTTGCACCAGCAGCGGAAGCTTACAAGTCTGTTCACGGAACGATTGTGATGGTAGCTGGTTGTCCCATCTTGTGGAGCTCGGCGAGGCAGCCATTCATCACGGGCTCAACAGCGGAAGCGGAGTTGGTGGCCTATACGGAGGTCTTCCAGCAGGCTGAAGGGGTGGCAACATTGCTCGAAGCTCTGGGCATCGAGAATGTGAGGAGGTCACTATATGGGGACAACAAGAGTGCATTGGCACTGTGTCAGGGTGATGTGGGTGCGTGGAAGACTCGCCACCTCCCTCCGACTACGTGCAGCTGGCCTAAGGGCGGCGGTGGGCTGTGAGGTCAGTGGCTGGTACACACATCATGTCAAGGGGACAGAACTACCAGCTGATGGACTCACGAAGCAACTTTTGAGGGGCATTGGCAGTCCTGTGTGCTGCAGCACTCTTTGCGAGTGGGACTGAATCGCAGCTGGTAGATTTGGTGGCGCTTGCACTCATGCTGGCAGGAGTCACCTGGTTGAGGAAGATTCAGAAAAAATTGGATAGGGAAGATAAACCATCCCTGGGGGGACCTGCTCCCAAGCAGGGGAAACCGCCATGAGGGCACGAAATGAACCCATGGTGGAAGATACAAAAGAAAAGAAAGGATCGGACCAGACCAGAAGAAGAGTGGCGAGGGCCCAAAATGAACCCGCCAGGGGAACCCATCATCCTGACAGTAGCCCAACGGGCTCCCGACAGGGTCAGAGTGGTGACCATAAGACCACAACGCGCCCGCGAGCCATGGTGAGAATGCTGCAAGTGGATGATGGCGGCCCACCGAGAGCACGGCCGCACGAACCATGGTGGCATCCTCCATTCCACGTGCCTCCAACAGGCACTACGGACCGCTGGCAGGTGGTGGAGAATTTTGTGGTGAGGGTTCACTGCAAGATGAGGTACCAGAGATGCCATCCAATTCACAGCTCATACCCGCTGAGAGATGAGCAGATTTTGACGGGCAGGAGGGTGACCATCAAATACATTGGTGGAGAACAACCAGGCCGACCTTCGGAAGACTCGTGGATTGAGCCACCAACAAGAGAGAGCCGGATGAGCAATAAGATTGAGGGGAGGTGGAATGGCTATACGTTCTTTGAACTGCATAGCCCGGTGCATGGAGCAAAGGCAGCGAGCTACTATGTGGGGACAAGGCCAGTTGGGGAGTGGGCTCGACAAGAGCACACACTCCCTCCACACCTTCGTATACCGGAGGACATGAGGGCTGAAGAAGCAGCTGATCTACGCCATCGACGAGTGCATGATCCTGTGGGCACTGGGTTGACGACGGAAAGGACTGCAAGGTCTTCGGCAAGCACGGATGGACCAATGAGGGTGGAAGAAAGACCACCGATCAACTCAACGGCAAGCGCATCAACAGCGCTGCTACCAGGTGCAAGGGCGAAGACAACAGGGAGGATTGGGAAACCTCCTCCTCCCATGCCGCCCATGGAGCGATGGACTGGACTTCCAGAGGGGCTGAGGTTGGCGCTGCAGGCACTGACAGACTCAGAGCGAGACTGGGAGAGACCACCTGGATCTGAACCCATTTATTGGGTGCAGGTCGGAAACCGCATGTTCCATCGGAACGACTTGATGAGACAGGCCATCATGATGGAGCAACAACCAGATGCTGAAGTTCCTCAACTGCAGTTGACCTTGGTAGACGGTCGCACGGACAATGGAACTCCGTGCTACATTGCGACAGCAATGCCGGAGGGGGGGTCGAGTGGAAGTGGTACGATCTCGTCAACACTCCCCACGGCTACGACAGATTGGTCGACCCCGGACTCTACAAGGGCACAAGCTGATGGAAGCTTGGGAAGTGCGGCATCGGCGTGCCAAGGCCTACATCGACGAGGTGGAGGTGAGCAGCAGCCGAAGGCGATGGCCTCATACCCGCGACCGCCCCCGGGCTTGCAGCAGGAGGCTACAAGTGCCTATGGAATGTTGATCGAGGCAAATCAGACCCCATCTCTGAGTGGAAGCGCGGAGTCACCGTATGTGTTTGACTGGCCGGAAGATGACCGGATCAGTTGGAGTAGATTGAGGGAAGAGGGCAATACGCCCTAGGGCCTTGAGCTGTTCGCGAGCGTCGCGAAGGGGGAGTGCAATGATCACTCACATTTTGTAAAGATGAACTAGATGTGAAACCACGTCGACGGCCTTACCGAAGGCCCTTTTTATGCCCAAGAGAAAAGGTGCGCAACTTCGCGTGGGTTTTCACTTCTAATTGAACAAGCCTTTCAATTTCCACGATTTGCGTGCACGGCCAAACCTAGTACGCCCCCAAGCCTCAAAGGAACGTCACTGCACACATGCTTGCAGGAAGAAAGGACACTGCAGACGGTGAGACCAATCGTGAAACCAACCATTTATATACCATCCTCCCACAACAGCAGGAAAAATCGAAACTGTACCTACAAAATCTAGAGCGCCCATATTATGCGTTGGTGGTATCCATAGATGACATGGTCCCGCTCTGCCCCTGTGCGCAGGTTACACAATGCAGTCAGGAATCTGGAACGGGGTCAAACGATGGTTGCTAGGCAGTAAGTAAACAAAGACTTCAATGCGGCTCAAAGGGCCATCTGACACGCTGGGAGAGGTGGGCCTACATTTGCAAAATGCAGGTCTCATTGCGAAGCGCTTGCTTACCTTCTATATCTTCTTCAAATCTCATGCAAATTGGTTGGCAAATCTATATTTTCTTTGTGCCTTTTGGATCTTCTTCGCTTCTTCACCTTGCCCTGATTCTTTTTGTTAATGATGCGGCGAAGCTGAACTTGCCATTCGCGAGGTGGCGTGCGTCCCCGAGTCGAGTCCCCGATATTGAAAAAGCAGTTGCCTACTCTTTAGGTTGCCCTCGATCCAGCATCATGCCCAAGTGTCCCCACTGGACCAAAGCATTAATACAGAACACATCAGAACACTGAGGTGAAGGAAGCTTCGTAGCCCACTTACAGCGTAGCCAGCACGCTCGGTAGACCGGTCAGTGCGGCGCATAGCACCGCTTTGCGATCGCTTCGGTTGGGGGACCCTTTCGAAACGCGGGCCGGATGACATGTCAATCATCGGGCGTTATCAAGTTCTTACATCAACATATCATATCCCATCTAAGTTGATACTGTTGGTCAAAGAGCCTGCGGGACAAGCTAACGCATTTGGATCTGTTGGGTTTCTGGCCAATTGAAAGAAGTGCGAGGCAAGCTCGCTTGTTGGGAGGCCATGGACAAGATGGGCGCATCACGCCACCTGCAGTGAAACAAATTAGGCCCGTGCAACATTGGACGCAATCTGATCATCTGAGCGTGGCTGCCAGCTCGAGTCCGACATGGCAAGCTTGATCGCGCATAACAAACCTCAAAAGGACAAGTGACTTGGGGCGAAGGATGCCAAATTTTTGCGGACTTGCAGGCCCTGCTCAATCCCTGTACAAAAAAACGCAAGCACTTGAGCAAAACAAAGGAAACTTAAACAAAAAATGGCTGGCACACCCACGCCTCCAGAACCGCCGCGGCCTGAAATCTTGGTCCGGCCCAACGTTGCATCACGCAACGTCTACTTCCTTGGATCAGCCGGGCCATGCCGCTGGGAGAAGCTTAACTGCAAACACAGATTTGTTGCCACCTCGAATGTGGACGGCCTGACAGTCACAAGGTGTCAAGGAACTCAAATTTTGTGCCACTCCGTCTTGCCATCTGGAGGCCCTTTGGATCTGGGCTTCTCAGTTGTGTCTCATCGCTTTGTTTGAACTTGCAAGCGAATGAAGTGAATCAAATTGGATACTATTGCTTATATACTCAGATGTATATATTTACAGTAAGTATAAATACTACCTGACAAGGGAGGGGACGAAAGCCAGCCTCTGACTTGGGGGATGCTCTCAGGGTAGGCCCGGGCAAAGACTTGGCGATAACGTCGGGCAAAGATTAAAGTGAAGTTGACATCCCAGCCACACCGATAATTAGGGGGGTAGAAATGGAAAGAAGACATAGGTCTGGGAAGGGTGCCCTTTTTCGCCCCGGTTCAGGGGTGATTTGGAGGTGAAAAAGGGCACCCGTCAGGAAGTGAGGCGCGCTTGCCGGCGGCGTCGAGGCAATGGGTAGGGTAGGTGGGGAGATATGCTACGGATAAAAGGGCACCCCTAAGCTAGTCAGGACCTTTTCTCTCCAACATTCTCCAACGCTTGCCCGCTGCAACCTCTTCTCTTTTCTGCCCCCCAACTGAACTCCCACCACATAGGGAGTGCTCTCTTGAGTGCGGTTCCCTCGCAGGCCATCGACACATGGCATCATGCACCCCATATGGGGCGCCCTTTTGACTCCAGTAACTAGACCTTGCCACGGAGGAAAAGGGCACCCCACTATGTGGTGGGGCTGGGGGTAGGAGAGAGAAAATGGCAGCGGGCAAGCGTTGGAGACAGAAGGTTCTGAATAGCTCAGGGGTGCCCTTTTTTTCCATAGCAAGGTCTGGTTGCTGGACTGAAAAGGGCACCCCACATGGGTGCATGATGTGTTGAGGGTCTGCGAGAGAACCGAACTGAAGAGGGCGCTCCCTATGTGGTGGGCGTTCACGTGGATAGGGGGGTTGGGCAGGAGAGAGAGAAGAGATTGCAGTGGGCAAGCGTTGGAGGCGGAAGGGATGCCCTTTTATATTCGTAGCAAGGTCTAGTTGCTGGACAATCAAGCTCGCCCGACATGGGGCGCATGATGCCATCTGTTCAGGGCCTGCGAGAGAACCGAACTGAAGAGGGCACTCCCCATG